TATCAGAGGCTGCTCCAGGACGGCTGAGTTATGTATTATGGAGTGTGCACCCTGTTTAACACAGAAACTGGAAGATATAAACAATTGACTATGTTTGATGGAGATTACATTCAGATGTGTGCACAGAAGGACACTTGTAGAGGTATTCTTGGCACAGGCTCAATGTTTAAACCCAACATCTTCATCCTCTCCTCCTCTCTCCAGCCTGCTGCAGTTCTAGCAGTAGGGCGGCCTGATCTAGGTTCTGGTTTAATCCCCTGACGTACCCTGAGCCAGGGTTCCAAATCCATGTAAATACACAAACTAGGACAAGCTAAATACTTCGTTCCAATACAGAGGCAAACTGATTATAACAAGTCAATATGCAACACTGGGACAATGTGTCCAGGTCAGTAAGCCTCATATACTCAGTCTGCACAGACCACAGTGTGTGACAGCTGCTCTATTCTAGAAACATGGCCTACAGAGCTGTATGCTTCCCTCTTCAGGGGCTAAAGCAGATGGAGGCGAGCACAGTGCTGCATCCAGGAGCCATGAAACTGAGAGCAGACCATCAGCATCCTGCACCACAGATCCCATTGGTCCAGTCCTGGATAACACCAGACTTCACCAGCTTCATCAAGAACTCCTTCTCTTTAGATATGTTGTGAGTCCAGGACTGAAGAGAGGACAGAAACACATAGGCATAAGACTTACAAAGCTTATAGAGCTGGCTCAGGTGAGTCCTGAACCATCCCTTAGTTTGCTGCTATAGGCTAGACTGCGGAGGAACTTTCCATGATGCACTGAGCTCCTCTCTCCTCCTCTCACTCCTCTCACTCTCTACCTATATGCATTCTTATCCCATTAATGCATGTTTCTAACTCCACTTGTTCCCTTTTGCGTAGTCTTGTGCTTTCTTGTCCCTCTCGTTATCTGGCAGTGGGGTCTGGATCTGTGGTTGCGGGTTTCCTGCTGCTCCCATTATTATTAGTCCCATTATTATTATGATTAATATTTCTATCATTATTAGTACTATTATTAATTTTCATTCATGTGCCACTACCACCTTTACTGTTGTTTTGGTATATGTGTGGATATTGTGTTGGGCTTCTCTCTCTTTGTCATGAACAGGACAGGATCGTAGGTTCCCGGGAGGTCTGGTGTAGCTAGCACACTAAACTCATACAACAGATGCATGCTGGGGTCTAGTTAAAATGCTCATGGTGGATACTGCAGCAGTGACTTCTACATTCCTGTCTATCTTCAGTGACGTGTGTGGGCTGTCTGCTGTTAACACTCCCTGTCACACCTGTGAGTGCTCATTCAGCTCACATTTTTGGAAACAATCTGAGGATTCACTCCCTGCGTTCAACGTAGCTTGTGTGGTTGTGTTGTGTGTGTGTGTGTGTGTGTGTGTGTGTGTGTGTACACTCTACACTGTTGCTTTGTGTGTTTGTGACAGCAGCCTCTGTGGAGTCTATACTGTTTATACATCTGTGTAGTTTTCTTATACTATTCCTAGAAGATATCATTTGTATATATTTGTATATTTGATATTCATGTTATGTCAAAAAAGGGTTAGGGTCATTTTTTGGTAATTGTGTACTGCTACTCTAAGAGAGCGGAGTCGAGGCAAGACCATATACTGTACAGAACATGGATGTAGGATCCATGGGATTCTGAAGAACCGTTGTGAAGCTCAATGAGGGCAACTGCTCATAGCAACTGCTGTAGTGGATGGAATATGGAAATAAACCTCAGGAACATCCTCATTTCTAAAGAAAGGCCAGTGAAAGAAATGCTGAATGACAGATTGCATTGAGTACAAGTCGACAATATCTGAGCTACATGCCAGCAACCTCTCTGAAATCAGGTGAGGTGATCATCGGCATCATTAATTTAGAGTGAAACCCACAATTCTGGTGGTGTTTTTAAACAGACTAAAGACAAAACTACTCAGAGAGGTACATAAAGTATATTCTTTGGCTGATAAACAAGCAGGCCTATTATCAGCCAGACAATACAGTGAGGAAAATAAGTATTTGAACACCCTGCTATTTTGCAAGTTCTCCCACTTAGAAATCATGGAGGGGTCTGAAATTGTCATCGTAGGTGCATGTCCACTGTGAGAGACATAATCTAAAAAAAATAATCCAGAAATCACAATGTATTTTTTTAACTATTTATTTGTATGATACAGCTGCAAATAAGTATTTGAACACCTGTCTATCAGCTAGAATTCTGACTCTCAAAGACCTGTTAGTCTGCCTTCAAAATGTCCACCTCCACTCCATTTATTATCCTAAATTAGATGCACCGGTTTGAGGTCATTAGCTGCATAAAGACACCTGTCCACCCCATACAATCAGATTCACAAGAATCCAAATACATGGCCAAGACCAAAGAGCTGTCCAAAGACACTAGAGACAAAAGCTTGGTGAAAAAAGGTCCACTGTTGGAGCAATCATTAGAAAATGGAAGAAGCTAAACATGACTGTCAATCTCCCTCGGACTGGGGCTCCATGCAAGATCTCACCTCGTGGGGTCTCAATGATCCTAAGAAAGGTGAGAAATCAGCCCAGAACTACACGGGAGGAGCTGGTCAATGACTTGAAAAGAGCTGGGACCACCGTTTCCAAGGTTACTGTTGGTAATACACTAAGACATCATGGTTTGAAATCACGCATGGCACGGAAGGTTCCCCTGCTTAAACCAGGACATGTCAAGGCCCTTCAGTTTGCCAATGACCATTTGGATGATCCAGAGGATGAGATGAGACCAAAATAGAACTTTTTGGTCATAATTCCACTAACTGTGTTTGGAGGAAGAAGAATGATGAGTACCATCCCAAGAACACCATCCCTACTGTGAAGCATGGGGTGGTAGCATCATGCTTTGGGGGTTTTTCTGCACATGGGACTGGGCGACTGCACTGTATTAAGGAGAGGATGACCGGGGCCATGTATTGCAAGATTTTGGGGAACAACCTCCTTCCCTCAGTTAGAGCATTGAAGATGGGTCGAGGCTGGGTCTTCCAACATGACAATGACCCGAAGCACACAGCCAGGATAACCAAGGAGTGGCTCTGTAAGAAGCATATCAAGGTTCTGGCGTGGCCTAGCCAGTCTCCAGACCTAAACCCAATAGAGAATCTTTGCAGGGAGCTCAAACTCCATGTTTCTCAGCGACAGCCCAGAAACCTGACTGATCTAGAGAGAAGATCTGTGTGGAGGAGTGGGCCAAAATCCCTCCTGCAGTGTGTGCAAACCTGGTGAAAAACTACAGGAAACGTTTGAGCTCTGTAATTGCAAACAAAGGCTACTGTACCAAATATTAACATTGATTTTCTCAGGTGTTCAAATACTTATTTGCAGCTGTATCATACAAATAAATAGTTAAAAAATCATACATTGTGATTTCTGGATTTTTTTTTTTTTTAGATTGTCTCTCACAGTGGACATGCACCTACGATGACAATTTCAGACCCCTCCATGATTTCTAAGTGGGAGAACTTACAAAATAGCAGGGCGTTCAAATACTTATTTTCCTCACTGTAGTTCTTTGTTGTTTGGCCAGATAACAAAATCAACAATCATTGGCTACTGAGTAAATCTGCTGACTGTCATTATACTTGAAAAAAATCAACAGCCGTTGATTATTACTTTCACCTATTTCAACAACAACAAAAAAAAGTGTTAATGATTTAAGTTAGAATAACCCTATAACCCGATCTGAATCAATTAATATTGAGTATCTGCTGATCCAGAGTCCCGAGCCGATACTTATATTTCCTAGAGAATATAGTAAGTGCGCAGCACACACTTCAAGTACTAAGTAATTATTAAAATCCAAATCAATCCAGTGTAGTATGCATGACAACTGAATAGCTCTGTATTGCATTACGAAATAAATAAATATAAATAATCCTTTTGGCCTTGTCGCTGTCTCGAATTTCTGTCATTTTAAATTCCCCTGCTCTTTCACACGGAGCTCAGCGGAGTGGAGAGGCAGACTGCAGAGAGGTGGAGAGTTGACAACAGCTGCACTTGTGGTGTTGCTGTGAATGAAAGCTTTGCAAGTAAAACCACCTGTGTGACAGCTAAAACAAATAATTGGATCTTGCTTAATTTAGCCAATACCAATCTGTTACCAGTCTTTGAGATCATATCGGGATAATTTAAACTGTCACTCATGCAATTTGAATTTCTTTCAAATGTTTATTCAATATAAAAACAATGAGTCATTCATTTCTAATTCACATTTTGTAATTTACAAAAACTCAAAACAGGCTCATAAACATCATGGTGGATAATGCAACCTACCATTAAAAAGGATCAGTCTATGTGTGCTAATACAGGACTGTAGAAATTAGTGAATTTCCTCACTGTCTCAATTATACATGCCAGTGGGCGGGGCCAAGCAGCTCTGACCTGAAACACAAGTCATTGGCAGTCGGTGAAAATAAGTGGAAGGAGATTGCATGTCTGTCTCAATAACCTGGGCTAAGAGTGATTAATCAGTAGGATGGACACTGAAGTGGAGTGAAAGGCAACTTTTTGTATGTAGTGTGTACTACTCTCAAAAACCATCGCCCAGCAACGTTCCTACACTTGAGATTTCATACACATCCCAGGCCACTACTCAGCACGCTAGGTAAATCCCTCCTAGATTCCCGAGAGGCATTTTAAATGAGAGAAAGGTCACAGTAAACTGTTCCAGTGCAGCATAAACCTAGAAAACTTAATGTTGGTCGACAGGTTGGTCAGAATGCTAACAAATTTGGAGGTTGTGAATATCGTGTGGGAGTATCATCCATTAAGAGAAGAATGTGCAGGAAATAGTGGGTCACACACCTGTTGATGGAGGGGATGAATCATCAAGCTAAAGTGTAAATTTACCGCCTACAATTAGTAAGGTCAGACTGAGTCCTTATCAAATTTTGGCGACAAATAAATCTAGCAAAACAGCCAATCAAAGCTTCTGTCAAATAACCACAATGTTTAAATTTTCAGCTGCTACACTCATTTCTCACTCTAATGTATTCTCGTCGCTTTGTAGGTAAGAAAATATAAACTATAATGACACTGCACAGGGCTTAAAGCAAGAAATGTGTTTGTGACAAAGATTGAGGGTAGGGGGCAAGAGCGTAACTTTGTGTTGAAAACTGACAGGGACACAGGGCACTACATACACTTAGCTCACAAAACATGAAGAAACACAATTCTGGGTTCACAAGAAGAAGATGAGAAGATAATTGTACACTGGTTTGATAAAATAATGTTCAATGTGGCGTCCTCCCCCAGAATATTTTTAGCATTAAAACAGTTCATTTCCTGCATTCTGGTAACATTTTCTGCCGCCACATATAATCAGTGCTTGAAGTGGAAAATATAGGTGCTGGGCAATATGAAAATGTTATCACGATAAAACATTTCACATCATTCAATATCGATTATTCTTACGATAAATGTCAAATCATTATAAGGCAGAATTTTGCTCCCGAGTGAAAGTTGAAGAAACCAGATGGTTAATTGTGGTTTTAAACTACTTTAATGTTCAGAACAAACACTTAATGCAAAACAGTGGATCCAGTGTTTCCCATGCATTCATTTATTTGTGGCGGCCCGCCATAATTTCAACGCTGACCACCACATATTGATTTTCTTTCTTTTTTTTTTTACTAGGCCTATTTTAAATCGTATTTGATTGCAGAGCACTGTAGGGCATTCACGCAGCACATCCTCTCGCTCGTCCCCTCGCTCGTCCCCTCTCTCTCTCTGCTCTCGTTCGCTCGTCCCTCTCTCTCCCTCATGAACGCCGCTGCACAAATCTGTCCAACACAATGCTGTCGGACACCCAGCTTAAAAAAAGTTATTAACAAGCATGTAAGGAGCCTATCTAATAAGAAGAGCTAAGTTAACGTTAGAATACAGCTGGGTTGTCGAGGTTAGCACGTTGTTTATAGCTGGTGCCACAGTTACACTGTCATTCTGCGGGATCACTTAACAAATCTGAGGTAAAACATTCAAAAACAATTATTATTAAGTAAATTTCAATTAAGTAATCTTTTTTTCAGTCCCTTTCCTCAACAAGTAAAGTGCTGATTGTTCGTGATTCAAATGAATTAAATCAAACACTTATGGAACAGTTGTTATATTGTTAGGCTTTTGAGAAACATTATATTGCATAATTATCATTATTGTTTTATTGCCCAGCTCTGCTGGTACCCCATTCACATGGGGGCTCACGGCTTCATGAAAGGTACCGAGCTTCTACCTGCTCCGTCTCTGCCGACAGAGATTAGCAAACAGGCGAGAATGGGAACAGATGAGCGCCACATAGAGTCCATTGGTACGCAAGAAAAGTCCCGGGACGCCAAAGAGTAAAATGTAGAAGTAACTTACTGGTATCGGTGGCCCACTTCAAGCACTGCCCATTATCAAAATTGACACCACTTATCTGTGAAGCCGTACTCCACTGGTGGATTACATGATACTGACAAAAATGGCCTTGTTACGTTGGCAAAGGTCCAGACGATCCTACACGAATACAAAAACGCCTTGTGCCAGAATTCCGGGCACAGAGCCGGAGAACTTTAAGCCCTGCACTGCAGCTGCGTGTTTCATATGTTCACCTATCTGTGAAAGCAGTCAACAATGGGAGGAACTATTGCGCTGCTAAGTTTTTATTCCTCTCAGAAAGTGGAAGCTAGTTAACTTAGTTTGCAAATGTTAGCACTGATTTAACATTGGCCGAGTCGTCAGCTCAGTGCTGTGCTCATCCTGCATTATAGAAAGTAGGGGGCTTGCCAGTGGTGATGACTTCTTAGCAAAAATTGTATGTAATTTCAGTTTGACTGTGAAGACATGGTTAAATAAAAAAACATTATCGTGTCCCTGGCAACCCAGCTAACCCTGGCCATCATATAAAACCGCGGTTGACTAAGCTTGTGGGCTGTAGTAGGTAGCGAAGTTTAAGTCTAATCTCCCATCCTAATCTAACAACACAGGTGAGGGAGGTGTGGGTGGAGGCCAACAGTCCTATCTATGTAAAACTCTGTGCACCTCTGTATTCCCTACGCCACACCCATTTTTTAGCAATCCAATCAACTTGGAAGGATTTGATTTAATCATAACTATCACTTGCCCACATATTCTGGGCACATATTCATATTTTTGTTGCTAAAATCACTGAATTGACCCTGCCTATATTTGGGAGAGGCATCCATATATAGGACAAGCCTTTAATTCCTCTCACACAAAACTGAAATAGGCTACTATGAAACAGTTTATTTATTTCAAACAGAATATTATTTGTATAAAAATGATCAAATAATATCAAATACACATCATTCATTTGATCTAGCTCCGACAGACGGCTTATGTAATTTTATTTGTAGGCAGCAACGCAATGAAAACAACAACGGTGCAGGATGAGAAAAGCGTGGCAGAAGTTAGCAGACAGAGAGCGATGGACTTCACATGACAGGATGCACAACTTGGATTTTTATGAAAAGCTGTTTTTATACTTTTGATCGGTTGACCCTTACAGACTAAAGGAATATAAATAATTGAGGAATGGACACATTCGGACTTAACAAGCGCTTCAAAGGAAACGGGAGTCGGCACTTCATCTCTTGTACCTCAGCATGGGCTTGTTATTTCTGTTAAATTAAATGAACGATTGAATGGTGGAGAATCTAACAGATCTAACGATGTGTAGCATGTTCATACTGACATACAACATTCCCACATCAGGGGAACACATTTTGGGACTCGGCTATTAATTGTTAAGTTTTACAGTACATGTCAACGTGGCTTAAAGAATTTTTAGTAGAGTTTTAATCTGCACTACAGAAAGCCTTGTGGTGTCTAGCATCAGTTTTAGAACCTATTGTGGAATCTTACTAAAACAGGTCTTTGGTTACCTCTTTAATAGCTGACATCCGGATCTTCTCATAATAGTGCAGAGGGGCATGAGGGGTGCTCATGTTGTAGCCAAATCCAGCCACAGCCACTTCATCACAGTTATGAAGGGCCATCGTTATGGCAACTGTCCCCAGGGTTGGGATATTCTGAAAATAAAGCAGAAATAAAGAGTTTGTATGAAACAGGTAACCAAACCATGACCTGCTTGTGAACGTACAGCAGAGGAGATTTATTTACGCTATGTGGTTAGTGTGTGGATATTTTACAGATGTGAAATCTGAAGCATGAAGCATGGTTCTATTTATAACAGCCTAGTGCTAACAACGTTTTCAGGCTCTGTGTAGGTGCTCGGCTCACTGCAGCATCTGCTGTGTATTCACACAGGCCTTCATAATGCAAACAGACAGACAGCTACCAGAGCTCCAGTCTTGACCATTAACTCACCCCTGTGTGTGAAACAGCTCACTGTTCCTGCTACTTCTCTACCTAGAACTGTACAGAAACTGACTGGTAGGAAAACAACAGGCCTCTCACCCCTCTACCCATCTGTCCATTGTTGCGAGGTAAGCCAATTAGCTTGAAGGAGGCCTCCTGAATGAAGTAGGGGTTCAGGATGCGCATGTCGCTGGGCTCCCTTGGAACGTGCCTGGCCACTGATTTCCAGAACCCATCAGTGCTGCGCTGAGAGACAAAGAGTGAGCAATTACAGAGTGTGGTTAATGCAACCCTCATACTGACCAAAATATGCACACAATTGTCAACAAATGCAGTTTTACCATTGTCCACACTGAAACAATCAACGGCAATGTGCAAGTAATTTCATATAGAGTGACTGTATACATAACACCATATTGCTTTAGAGAAGTTAAAATTAGAAAGCCAAATAAATCTCATAAAGAATTAATCAAACAATAGCAAAATATTAGAAAAACTGCCAATGTATCAGTGGTGAACAAGAAAAATCAGATGAATCAGATTCAGACTTTCATTTTTCCTTATTAATGTGATTTCGTTTCAAGAGCAGTAGTTTAAAGCTGTGTCAATCAATATTTTGTAAGTATAGATTTGGAATCAGAAGCATTTCATCTGGAATGGTGATGGTGCAGTGTATAAGACACATGCCTTGGGTGTGACAGGGGGTTCAATTCCAAGATACTTAACCAGTAGCTGCTCCAGAGGTGTGCGACCTCTGACACATGTAGCAATTATAAGTCACTTTGGACAGCATCAGCTAAATATAACAATAATCCAATGATGATATGTATTGTTAAAGCTGTCGCTCATTACGATGAACGCAAAGTTTATTAGAAATAATTCTAGGATAGTGGTGCTCTTCCGTTACAGCTTTTAACAAACTGTATCAAATTAGGGCTTTCTACCCACAGTCCCCTCCAAAAGTATTGCAACGGTAAGGCAAATCCCTTTGTTTTGTTGTTCACTGAAGACATTTGGGTTTAAGATAAAAAGATGAGTATGAGACAAGAGTTCAGAATTTCAGCTCTCATTCTGTGGTATTCACATCTAGATGTGTTAAACAACTCAGGACACATCACCCTTTGTTTTGAAACCACTCATCAGCAGCAAGAATCAGAAGGCCAGATTGAAATTTGCAAAGTAGTACAGAGATGAGCCGCAATGGAACACAATCTTATGGACTGATGAGACCAAGATTAATCTCTAGCAAAGTGATGGAAAGGCCAAAGTGTGGAGAAAGAAAGGAACTCCTTATGATCCGAAGCATACAAGCTCACCTGTGAAGCATGGTGGAGGTAATGTCATGGCTTGGGCGTGCATGGCTGCTTCTAGAACAGGCTCATTAATATTTATTGATGATGGAACTGATGATGGTAGCAGCAGAATGAATTCACAAGTGGACAGAAACATTTTGTCTGTCAATTTACGGAGAAATGCATTGAAACTAATCGGGAGGAAGTTTATCATGCAGCAGGACAATGAGTCACAGCACACTGCCAACAAAACAAAGGACTTCATCAGGGGGAAAAGTGGAAGGTTTTAGACTGGTCAAGTCAATCACCTGACCTTAACCCAATAGAGCCTGCATTTCACCACCTCAAGAGGAGACTGGAGGGAGAAACACCCCGAAACAAACAAGAACTGAAAGAAGCTGCGGTAAAAGCCTGGAATAGCATCACAAATGAAGAATGCAAAAGTTTGGTGATGTCGGTGATGTAATTTAATATCGTCACTGCTTCTCAATGACCCCAAACATTGTTAGCATTTCTGTACTGTAAAAACACAAACGTTTTGGTCCTATTACAAATATTACAAGTATTTAACTCAGTATTGCATATGAGTTCATGTCATTCATTCATGTCACAACCTAGCTCTGTTTCTCTATCCTTATTTAGTTTACTTCTGTTCTAAAGGCAACAAAAAACAACATATTTATTGATGTCAAATGTCAGATGTATCACTTATCGAAAATGTTAATGCTGAATAAGACAATAGTAAGTAAATAGTGATCAGTTCTAACAACTATGTGGAAAACAATACCCAGAGCTGAGGCCTGGAGGATGGAAAAACAAGGGGAACAAACAAAGCCATCAGAGAAGGGAGCCCCTGGATCAGTATACCATTAACTAATTACCAGCTCTTTATGAACAGTTACTGGAATACCACCCTCCCGGGTTTGCTCAGGTTTGTTGGAGTGAAGGGCTAGGAGAAGCCAAACAGAAAAATGTGCTATTAGCTTACTAGCATAGCTCTGCTACCCTGTTAGACTGTAAGCTCTTCACAGATAGATCAGATGGTAATCCTGTCTGACTGAGACCATTTTGCTCCTCTATCCGAGCTGGAAATGCAACACCTCTGCTCCGCAAACAGCAGATGAGGTCAAATGACAAGCATTTCCACATCCCTTTAATAACAGTATCAGTAGGTATGTTTACAAACATTTATCCCGGATAAATCTACACCAAGCAATATTAGTATACAGTGCCCTTCAAAAGAATTTGGCCCATTTTCTGATTTCTTCTATTTTGGCATTTTTGTCACACTTGTGTCACAATTGTTTCAGATTTTAAACTAAATTGAATGTGAGAAAAAGACAACCTGGGTAAACACAAATCCAGTTTTTAAATGATGATTACATTTACTGAAGGAAAATAGTTATCCAACACCTATGATATTAATTGTATGCAAATATATACAAGGAAACCCACTTTCATATCACCCACCACTCAAGTACATCCATACATAGTGGGATAGACAAGGGGTATGGCTTGTAAGCTGGTGCCATACCACACTGTGATGCTGCTATTGACAGTGGTCTCAATAGTGTACTGGCAGAAAGTGCAGAGTTGGTGCATAGTGCTTTTAATGGAATTCCATCCAATTACTGCCGAGACATTTGATGATTGCAGCAGAGGAAATGAGTCAGATGATAGCCAAAGTCAATTGAAATAATACTCTGGGAACCACAACAGTCTGTAAAAAATACAGACATTAACATTATAAAAAAATGTATTTAAGTTTAAAAAAGGCAACAGCAAGAAAAACTACTTTAGGATATGATTTAACTACATAATTTTTATTTCTACTGGTTGGACTGAGAACATTTGGAATAGACATTCATTCATTCATTCATCCTTATCACTTTGTTGACTTTCCCACTAGCACCACCATGAGGATTAACTATTTTGGTTTACAGTGAAATGTTTCAACAACTATTGGTTAGACTGCCATAAAAGTTGGTGCACACACTTTGGTGATCCTTTGAATCTTTTATTTTGCACCATTGTTAAGTCAACATTTCAATGTTTTATAACCAAAAACCTGCAGTATTAACATTCCCTTCAGCCTCAGCTGTACGTTGTTTAGTGCTTATTAACTAATGTTAACACGCTAAACTAAGGTGTTAAACGTCAAATATGACCTGTTATCATCTTAGCATTGTCATTGTGATCATGTTAACATGCTGAGGGGTTAGCATTTAGCTCACTTGACAAAGATTCTGTATTACAGTGCACCCGGAAAGTATTCAGTGTTTCACCTTTTCCACATTTTGTTATGTTAAAGTGCTTGAAATGGGCCAAACGCACCGGCACTACCGGCACCTTGACATTTCACTCTTCGGCGTACCTGGACATCTCCCAAGCTGCCGGTGTTATGCCGAATTTTGCCTGCCTGTCGAAAATTGCATGCACCTCCAAATACTGCCTTTTAAACGCTATAACATTGTTTGTGGGGTTCATTAATGGTGATAATTGATTCAAAGTATACACTTAGTAGAAGTACCATTCCTTGACATTCAGTAAATATATGTGGTGATAACCAACATTTGGATCAATGAGCAAAGTGTCTGAAAAGGACCTAAAGAGGTGGATGCATAATTTGGCAGGTAGCCTACAAAATTTGATCTGCCGCCTCTTTTCTCATCATAAATGACCATTATCACACGTAAGTGCATGCAATTCTCAGCAGGCAGGCAGAACACAACCCCTGTACTCTCCTCTGCCCTCTCCATATCAAGTTCTACGCGCTACGTGACTCTCACCTGTTCCCGTTCTCACCTGCCTGCTAATCTCTGTCGGCTGAGAGAGTCGAGGGAGAAGAGAAGCTTGGGTGCGTTTCAGGGGTCTTTCACACCTACCTGGTTTGGTACGGACTTTTGACTTTTCAGTTTGGTCGGAACCAAAATTGCAGATGTGAAACCTCCCACGGACCACGGTCCGAACCAAACAGACAAAATTTGGGTCCAACGAAAAGAGGTAGTTTCGATCCAGATCAAACTGAACCATGGTTTGGTTAGTTTCTGGTGTGAAAACATTTTTGGATGGTTCAGACTTTCAGACTATTTCAGTTTGGTGGTTGACGTGTGAACCAGAAAAACAAATGCACGGAGAAATGCAGTGAAATAACGACACAATTATAAATCTCCTGTGATAGATCATCTTTTCAAACAGATGGCCACTATATATACACTTCCTTTTACATATTTGGTTTCTCCTGAAAAGGAGGTGCAGAAGGATTGCTTGCTGTCTTCTCCTCCTTTCTGGTCGGCGACGTTATACTAATGTTCAACGCGGATGTTTAATTGCAAATTTGAACTAGACTTCAGTATAGTTGGTGCTGCAGGTAGTAATGCCATAATAATAATATCGTGGCAAATATGCACATTGATTTTTTTATTCATTCATTCTTGTCAAAGATACCCGCTGAACTGTTTAATAAACCAATCAATGTCAAGTAGGCTATAGGGAGACGCAGCCCACATAGATGATGACGACAGGACGCATGTCAACTAACCGAATGTATCAAAATGTATCAAAACATGAACTTTAGTTCGGACCTTGGTGTGGACTTTCAGGTGTGAAAGCCCCCTCAAACAGCGCTGCGCAGCGCTTACCTAACGTAATGTATAATGGACTTGGACATAAGGCATGCTAATTAGAAAGCCAGCGCTGCAAAACATCACCATGTTACATGACATTTAAACCTCGCGGCTGCAGGTGCTGAGTTTGGCGGCCGCAGTTGCTTTGCTTCCGGCTGCACAAAGTTGGAACCACACTATGGCCTGATCTCGCGGCAGTTTTCTTTGCAATCATACAGTCACTAAATCATTCCTCAATGTATGCAGTTATGTCGAATGTTAAATATATTTTTAAAGGTTCAGTGTGTAAGTTCTAGTGACATAGTGGTGAGGGTTGCGAATTGTACCCGCCCTCCCCTACCCAAGCGAGCAGTACAGCTACGGTGCCTGAGATGGGACAAAGATGTCATCTATG